GAGTGTCCACATGAATACTATATCCCACCAGTCCCTGAAGCCACTCTGAGCAAGTCACAGATATCCAGACTGCTCAGTAGGATTTGACATCTCCATGCAGCAGGTCCTCTGTGGCTCCCCAGTCACCTTTAAGGGGTCAGAGAAGGTACACCACCACACATGCGGCCACAGATGCCCAAACCTCTATCATTCAAGTTCTTCTCACAAAGCCTGTATTCAAAGCACAGGTTTTATTTTTGTTTTTTTTGTTGTTGTTGTTTTGTTTTTTATTGCAATTTGCATGAACCTCATCAAATTTATTCAACTACTCTCCAGAGCTGTGCTATCCAATGAGTAGCCACCAGCTTTAGCAGGTAAAATGTGGCTACTCCAAGTTGAGATGTATACTCAGTATAAAATTCACACTGAATTTAGAATGCTTAGTATGAAAAAGGAATACGAATATGTAATGTATTGATTACACTTTGGAATAATATTTTGCATATATTGGGTTCAGTAAAATATATTAAAATTAATTCAGCCTGTTTCTTCTTACTTTTTAAAAACACAGCTGCTAGAAAATTTAAAATTAAATATGCAGCATGCATTTTGTGACATACATTATATCCATTGAACACTGCTGGTTTAGAGGTCAAATGAATATATCAATAAAATTTTGACCTATCTTCATAAAACAACATACAGGAACTATGGTATAAGTTTTCAAAGGTCTTTGAAAAGTTGAAGGTTGTATTATAAGACTGATACACAACATCTCTTATGCATAACCTACAGACAGGTCTTTTCATAGCCCAGGTACTTTTTTTTTTCTGTAAACCATAACAGATATGGTTACATTATTTCCTACCCCACAGGAAGAGAAAAAGACTAAATGAACTATTAACATTGAAAAATACATCAGAAAGAAAAAATAATTGGGAAGAAATCTATCAAAAGTTGATGAATAGCCCAAAGGAAACATTAAAAAGCACTTTAAGGTAAAGTCACTTATCATAGAATTTTATCTTTACTTGTGAATATACCTCAAAAGGTCTAAGAGCACATATTAATATTTGCTTGACTAAGTCATCAAGAAAATATTTGGGTGCATCCGGTAAATTCTGTTTGAGAATGAAAAGAAACACACCTAACATATTTGAAAGATTACATTAAAAAATCTAAGCTCTTTAAAAAAAATTAGAGTACTTGAAGAGTAGAACCCTTGTATGTTGTAATGACAAAGCCATTACTGGCTCTATGTCCTTGGCCAAGAGCTTAAACTCTCAGACCTGTTTTGGAGTGTCCAAGGAAATATTTTGAGGATTCGCTGATAGGATGTATATTAACAAGTGGTACTTCATAGGTGGTCAACATATGTTAACTTCTCTCTCCAAAATAACATGTAATCTGAGGGTGTTAGGAAATTAAGGCATGCTGACTTGTTCTTTTTCAGACTTACTCTTACTGTGCTTGATATTTAGTTCTGAAGTCATACTTGCCATTTTGAGTTCTGATGGGTCATAAAAGTTGTTAGATTTTTTACTGTATTATTAGTCATTTCTAGAATCCCCCACTCATTTATTTCTGGTGGTTCTAACAATACATAAAATGGTTGGCAAAATAAAATCGCAGTATGCTTTTGATTTATTCAATACATAGATCATAGATTTGCTAGCTTCCAAGCACAAAGCCAGGAATATTAGAAATAGAGACTTTGTTATCATGGAGTACATCTAGCAGGAGTGTGGAGACATGACTAATTGCCTACCTAACATGCTTCCTGCCCATTCTTCATTACTAATAGCACCTCAATTTTGTTTAAATAAGAATTGTACCCAGATTCTCTTCTAGTTAAGGACTTAGGTCTTCCCAATACTATGTAAGTGACAGTATACAAAATGAAATGTCCCAGGAAGTTACTGTTTTCCAAGTTGAAGAAATAGGCCAGCTGAGCTTCTTCCCTTTATTCTTCACTCAACCCAGAATGTGCTACCTGGGGTACCATGGCCAGTCTGTGCAGTTCTCTAAGAAAGAAGGACCAGGAAGATGGATAGAGTTTGGCTGCTTCAAGTCACTTTTGAGTAGCTGAAGCCCTGGACAATTTTCCCAAGACTTCTATAACATGAGAAAAACAAACCCATTAATTAGTTTTAAGCCACAGTTTGTCACATTACTTGCCTTAGGGTACATTCCTAATTGCAAAAATAGGCATGTCACAGGATACCAATCGAGATTTCTCTTTTAGTCCAGGAATTATAGCCGAGTTTTGTCAAAGATGAAGACACAATATAATAAATGTACCCCATTGTATGTTCAGAGAACCTTCAGTGTTTGAAGCCAGCAATCTTATTAACACACTTGATGAGGAACCAGTGTAGAGATGCTGGTCTGTAAGTAGCCACAATACACCCAGTTAATATAAAGCTAGGGCTAGAAGAGAGGAGAAGTCAGCATTTAGGAAGGTGTCTGATTTTGGAGATGTGGCTAGTTTCTCTCTTAATCATCCCCCAGGAAAATATCTTTATCCTCAGAGCTGAAGCCAAGAGGGTCTGGTACCAAAAATCACTTATAAAGCCTAGAGGTGTCTAAACCATGTTTACCTCCTCTGGGGACTGATTGTCTCTCTTTTGAGAATCATTGAATATGATCCAGTGCCTGATGCTGCTGGGCCTTGTAGAAAGGATCAGCAGAGAGATGGCTGAGCCGAAAGAGGAAACACACAATGGAACAGCCTGCATTTCTTCCATGTGGGATGGCAAGTACATGTGAGTTTCATGTATTTGGATAGCACAGAAAATAGCTGACCTGGAGCCAGGTACTTGAATGGTAGATCTCACAACAAGAGGGAATGGAGTAGGGGTGGGCAGTGGAGGAAGTTGGCCCAGAGCCAGGTCCCCCATGGTAGGCAATTATGCTATGAGGAGAACCTGACAAGGTCCCCAGAAATATCTATACCTTTGTCCATCAGAGAGCCAGTAAATCAGTATCTGCCACAGAGAGGACTCTAACAGCAGTCACTGCCTGAGAAGCATCAAGTCTAGCAGTAAGGAAACTTCACTCTCACCAGGAGCAAGCCCAGAATAAACCTCTGTCTCCCTACTCCTTCCTCTTTGCTGCCACAACTGAGGAATCAAAAGAAGAAAGGACAGGTCATGTGTGGGACTCACATTAGACTTCCTCCCTACTGCACGCTGTTAGAGTCACAGAAAGTCTAGTCTATAGGGGGAAATGGTGGGAAGAGGTAGAAGAAAATAAAATCAGATAAGAGACTCAAGGTTTAAAATAATTAAGATGGATTCCCAAGAACCTGAGTGAGAGAAAAAATTCGGAGAAATCTACACGATTGGGCCAAAATATCATTAAAGCTTCAAGCAAGGGGAATTCAACACAAGAGCAGTGGTGGAGTGGGGTCAGGGCAGGCAGTGATCACAGAAGAAAAAAATTAAACCAGCTAAGCTTCCTTGAACCTTGATAAATAAATGAAACACCTTAGTAGAACAATGTATTACCCATATTAATAGTTTAAAAAGTCTCACATTTTATGAAGCAGTGCCATGGGTGTGATGGGAGCGTGCATTTAGGATGGAGGGTCCTGTTGAAGCAGGGCCCCAGCGTGGTAGTAGTGGAAACATGTGAGCTGGCCCTGAGCTGTGGAAGGGAGCCCTCTCCCCATGGGATGCAGCAGTCCAGGCTGACAGAAGCCCATCTGCCTGTGTCTGTGGAGGCCTGAGGCTGGGGAGAACTTTCTGGATGCACTGGAGGAACTAAATGGTTTGTGTAGTCAGCACGGAGATTGGTGGTGGAAGTGAGTGGCACAAGAGGTTGAAGGGACAGGCAGAAAAACTGCAAGGATTGCCCGAAGTCAAAGCAGTTACTCAATCAGTCCCCAGGAAGAGATGAAAGGCTTGTGTTAGGCATGAGAAAGCAAGACATCATCCTTTTCCCTCTGCTTCTTCACTAACAGCTGCAGAGATAACTGACATTATGCTCAGTCGAGTCAAACTTTGGTGCATATTTTTGGAGTTCTTCCTTGGCAGTTTGTGGCTGTGTTCAATGAGAAAATGAATGGTACCTAGTACAGTGTCCTACACACTGACTGGAAGAAGGTTGTCAAGTGCCTGTAGAATTTCAGGATATTTCAAATAGCTCTTTCAGTTGGTTCAGCCCCAGGGCTTCTTAGACCTAATTTACTTCTAGTCTTTTTCCTCCTCTCTGAACACACAGATCTCAAGGATTCAGCCTGTGGGGTTGTATCTTTTAGGAGCTGCCACCACCTACTCTAGCCTTGTCTAAGCAGAAAGCACCCAGTACCTTCTTGTTCTTCTAAATTCTGAATACTGGAGAGGCAATAGTTCAGTGCAGCAAGAAAACCTCAGCAGGATTTTCCAACATTGGACTGAACAGTGGTGACTGCCTCTCTTTTGACCTTCATTACAGTGTTTAAGTGGCAGGAAACAAAATATCACAATCCTATGGCTGGTTCTCTTCCTTCTTCCCGAAGCGGTAGAGATCACATCTGTAATTTCCCTCGCCTCCTGTTGGTCCAGGAATCTTGGCTCTGAATCACAGTTCGGCTACCTGCAGGGCAAAGTCTAGGCTCATCTCTAGCCAGCTGAACTAAATATGAATTCACTTGAGGATGATTTTCAGGAAACAAAAAAAAGAATTCCATGCAATTCAGCAAATATGTGACAGTACCTCCTCAAAGAGCCACACCCTCTTAACGTAATTCAATTTTATTTGTCAGCCACCAAGCAGGAGGCCAGAGAAAATCCAAATGATTAATTTAGAAGCAACGTGTGTGCCTTTTGGAAACATAAGAAACACTTACCCCAACTTCTGGCGGGGGATCCTTATGTTCTGGTAGGACACTGGTTCGAACCTGTGGAGAAAAACATTTTCTGTAAGACTTTGGGGTAGAAGCTAGTGCAGAAGCCTCACACAGGTGCAGGGTTTCACTTTCCTTCATCTTGCATCAATTCAGACTCTGTGGTTAATCATTAATGAATTAACCTGTGTGCAACACCCACGGCAGTGCAGTGAAGCTGTGCTGTTACAGTTCCTGAACTTCCAGATTTTTCTAAGTAGACAGAGCTGCCTGGATCCTCACTCCATCTCTTTATCTAATACAGAGATATCTGGGATTTAGACAGATCTCTTTAATCTCCTAAAAAGGCAAGCTTCATTCAACATTCAAGGGAAAGGAAAGAGCTGGTATAGAGAAAGCAATTCCATGCATGCGTAATGAATGTTCCCAACACAAAGAAATGATAAATGTTTGAAATTATGGATACGCTGATTACCATGATCTGATTACAATACATCATATGTATTGCAATGTCATTATGTACCTCATAAGTATGTACAATTATGTGTCAATTTTTTTAATTAAAAAATTATTCTCTGAATGAGTGCCCACACTCATGCTTCTTATAGGATATCTTTCCCACTTGAGAATTCTGGGTCAAACTAACAGATACCATCATCTGAATTTACTGGAAAGGTAATTCTCAATTGTGGGAGGGGGAATAATGTAAAAGAACCAGTTATCTGGGTAATCTTTCCAAAAAAGTGTTCTAGTTGAAACACTAACTCCTTATATAATCAAGAGACATGTATCTTCAACTGAGTGGTGATGTTCAATCCTGACTGTACATTAGAATCACCTGGGAACCCTTTCAAACTCTTGGTGCTCCTCCACGCCCCCAGCTATTCTGCTTCCAATGTACAGCTACCGACTCTATGGTTCTCTTAAGAAATCACATTTCAAATAAAAAAAAAAATCATGATTACCTTTCTTGCTTCAGAAAAAGATAGTGAACGTAAGAAAAGGCAAGAAACTTACATCTAGTATGTCTTAATTTCAAATAAAGATGAGTTAAACAAGTTAAATGAATGTAAAGCATATATAAGGACATCCTGTTTACTTGGAGAGAAAGGGGATTGGAGGGGAAGAATCAGAAAGCAACAGCCTAAAACACTTAAAGGATCAACATTTTAGGGGATCATTCTAACAAAATCCTTTTAATCATACTTCTCTTCAAATCCCTTAAGTCTTGACATACCTGACCATACCAAGTCAATCCTCCCAGATTGAAGGGATGCTTCTAATACCTCTAATAAGTTAAGAGACTTGAATCAGCTCCTTGTGGCCTGCTAATCTTGAACACAGTTGCCAATTCCTTGAAAAAAGCCACAAGCTATAATAAAATGTGCATTTGGACTTCTAGCTTAATACTTTTGGTATCTTTATGACAGATCCAGCACTGTCGCTTGCACAATTTGTCAGTCATTATAACTCAAAATTGTTCACCCAAGCACAAAATAAATGACATGAGAGACCTCAATGGAGTAAACACAATTTGTAGAACACACTCAACTCTTCAACTCAGGACTGTGTGACAGAGCACTTGCTGGCTAAGAGCATTAGCAGTTTGGTAGCTGCATTAACATTTTTTGGCCCAGATTACCATTCAGTCTCATTATCTGAAAGTCATCAACTGGCCTCAAAGGACGAGGAAACTATATACAAATAGAGGTCGTGGACAATGTAGTGTGTGTATGGATTATATATAGTATGTATAAATATGGTTTCTCCCTCTATCTCTGTGTGCATATGAATAGTTTATTATACTACACATATATATAGTATAAAGTGCTATATAATGAATATTCACAACATGTACCATATAATGCACATATGTGTACATATATACATTAATTTTTTTAAAAGTTGACAGCCAAATAACATTTTCCAAAGATATACACTTGAATTTACAAATAAAGTGAAAAAGTCAGAAATTGGTAAGAGGGTCAACATACATAGAGTTGTATAAAGTATTTGATTTGGGTCATAAATATTAATATAAAAGCGTTTTAACGTTGGACAAAGGTAGAAAATTCTGACAATTCCTGCAACATGGTAAACTCCCACATTTTAATAATTTTATATGTAGAACATGTATTTTTTATAATTATCAATAAACTACAGAAGGAAAAGAACATTCCTTATCTTCTTTTACATATATATATTTAATATTCTTTATCCTATTACTGATGTTATGGTACATAGGTTATATCAGTGATGCTTTTCTTATATATTCCTCCATTGCAGTGAACACAAGCTAGGTAGCAAGCACTGGATTTGCTAGTGAGTAATGCCCCAGTATTTCTTGTTGAGACTTCAGAGACCAGTGAGTGAGACACATATGTGAATAATTTAGCACAATGCAATAAGTGCTATAATAGAAATATGGGCATTGTCCTGTGGGCATTTAGAATGAAGTATAACTATTTTATCCTGTGAGTTTCAGGAAAGGCTTCACAAAAGAAGTGGTCTGGGTTTTGAAGGATGGCTAGGAGTTTTAGACAAGGAAGGATATGATAAAACAAGCAGGGTTTTGTGTAACAAGCACGTGTCATAGAGTTGTAAGAGTTCCACGGGAAGGGTGCAGGATTTGAAACATGGCAGATTATGTGGGCCAGCAACAAACTACCAAAACCACAGAGGAGCCCCTGGATCTTATCAGGCTCAGCCTAGATGAGAGAATTTACATGAAAATGGGAAATAACTGACGGCTTCAAGGCAGATTACATGCTTAGGATCAACATTTAAATATGATGTTAGGAGATGTAGAAGAAACTGTGGCTACTATAGAAACTGACGAACAAACATATGAAGGGATATGTAAATCAACGAAACTGAGTATTCCAACGCTCTTTATCCAGGGAGATGATGCTGTCCTGGTTGTCCCGCCATTGAAAGTTGGCTGACACAAAGAATTTGTTCTGTATGGAAAATAGGAGACTTTGTACAATTGCCTCTTTAAATGTGCAAAGCATTTGAAAGAGAAAACTGCATACTTTTGATATTGAGAAATAATTCTGAGGATTTTTCCACTCTTGAAATGAATTGATTTGCACATAACCCACGACTTCTTAAGCTAAATGGCACTTTTCCCTCCAATTCTTCCAATAAATATAATCACCAAGATGCAAAAACAAAAACAAAAATGAACAAACAAACAAAAAACCAGAGCTCAGTTGTGTTCAGGGAATATAAGTATTCTGTTGATGCTATTGGGGCCCTGCAGGAAATGGCAGGAGTTACATACGTTTGGGGAATTGGTTGGGGCCATTTACTGGAGAGGGCTGTCTCCCATGTTATAGAAGTGGAGTTTTATTCCACTGCATTATTCCAGGCAATAGGAAATCAGGCAAGGCACTGAACAGTGGAGTGGCATGATCAGAGCCCTTGACACATCCCAACTCTTCCCAAGTCACCCTGGGAAAATGATTGAACCTCTTCATGCCAGCTGTCTTTCAGCCTTTTTATCAGTTATTTAACATGGGGTTAATAGACCCTACAGGTTGTTGTATTCTATCCTTTTCAGCACTGCAAACAGTACCTGACCCAGAGAGAGAAGAACAAAGTGTGTGAGAAAGAAATGGAGGGGGGAAGAGAGAAAATGAAGAGGAAAGAGGTGAGGAAAGAAAGAAGAAGAGGAAGGCAGAGGAAGGAAGGGAGGAGGACCATGAGACAGGGAGCAAGGGAGAGAAGGAGGAATATGTCACTAAAAAATACTAAGGCCTGAACAGATATAGATGAGACCTCTTGGTGAGAAAGGGATGAAGCAAAGGCTGTCACTGTAGCATTTGGAATATTCTGGTTCACCGACAATGTCATGCCTCCTGAGAATTGCAAGCCTTCCTTTGGAATTCATTTTCCCTTTTTTGGTCTTGTCAGCAGTTCTTCTGTCTATTTTTCTTCACTATTCCCCCTCCCTGTCCCTTCCAGGAACATAAGAATGTCTTCCTGACTACAAATTTAAAACATTCTTACAGCTTCCTTTTGTCTAGACTTTTATGATGTCAAATAAAGCAAGGCAGACCAATTAATGTGATCTGTAGAAAATCATGTTTCCTATTCCATCTTGAATATTTTTTAAGGTTCATCTAAAACAAATTTCCTTCTCTATCAACCCCAGAAGTTCAAAATTAAACTAACTAAATTTATCTTAAAAACAAAACAAAACCAGGTAGCATAGAGTGGGTTATTCTCACTCTTTCAGGAATTCATATAGACTACTTCACAAGTCTTAATTGTCCCCAACAAGATGCTGCTTCAGCTACCAATACAGCAGCTGAACACAGGACTTTAGTGTTCAAATTTATGCAAGATATACTCCTCAGACTAGTGAACCTTGTTACAATGAGCATGGGCATTGCTGTCCTGAGGGTGGGAGGAGAGTGAGGACTGCTCCATTTTTCGTAGGTGAGTAGCTGAAAATCAGGCAGTGGAGCTGCCTGAAATGCTAGGAGTCTCTTGGAAATCCAGACCCAGAGAAGGAAAAGGCCATGCTGTCCTGAGTCTGCACACTAGACTGGCAGCACCTGACCTCATGCAAGTGCATCTGCTCATTGGTAGGTGAGGGAGAAGCATCATCCCTCTAGACAGTCTCAGCTGGCAGGCAGAGGGAAAGATATTGGTTATAGCGGAGGGACACCTCTCAGCAGGGATAGAGCCCAGATCCTCTTCCTAGAAAACTGTCACACCTGATATTGTCTCTGATAATGAATGTGTCTCGTTTCTTTAAGAAAAAAAAAAGTGTTACTCTAATTCTCTATGTATCTCAAATTAGAATATATCATCACATTTACTTGTCCTACTTGGAAGGAGACACATAAGTGTCTTTAATCAAACATTAAAATTTGACTACAACAGAAATGTTTTGCTCTGCCTCACAGTATGAATTTTCCAGAAGGAAGCTGCCTGCTTAACCAGGATTCCATATCCTAGAAACCCTGCTCCCAGGAGCAGCCATGTGGCTAGTTCTCACCAATGAAATGTACATGCAAGTGATGTTTGCTGTAACCAAGCTG